CAAACCACTTTCTTTCAACATTATAAAAGACAAAATATGTATATTTATACGGGACACATGATTATGTTCTAAAAATTATTACATAGAATTTTCATTTTAGGGAATTTCATTTGTCATAATTATTTTTGAGCAGAATTTTTTATTTGTTCGAATTCGTATTTTGCAGAATTTTCATCAAATCGATTTTCTATATTACAGAATGTTTATATAACCGAAAATTCACTTTAAAGAATTTTTATTTGTTCGAATTTTTATTTGTCAAAATTTTTATTTTCTTGAATTTTCATTTAACATAATAGGGCATTTTAAAGAATTTTTATTGGCTAGAATTAAATTGCATAGAATTTTCAAAAATTATCCATAAAATTGTGATCGGTTGATTTTAAAAATCGTGCCAAAATCGATTGTTGTTTCGGCCATTTGCAATTTCGGACAAATAAAAATTCTAATTATTAGAAATTCTGTTAAATGATTTTTCGGTTAAGTAAAAATTCTGAAGTTTAAAAAATCGGTTATACGGAAATTATATCAAAAAAATAATTCGAACAAATGAAAATTCATCTGAAAGAATAAAATGAAAATTCTATGCAATTAAATTCTATCCAATAAAAATTCTTTAAAATGTCTAATATGTTAAATGAAAATTCGAGCAAATAAAAATTCTAACAAATAAAAATTCGAACAAATAAAAATTGTGTGAAGTGAATTTTTGGTTATATAAAAATTCTGTAATATAGAAAATCGCTTTGATGAAAATTCTGCAAAATACTAATTCGAACATATAAAAATTTTGCTCAAAAATAATTACACGGAGAAAAATAAAAAAAACTATAATATATTAACTTTTACTACTTTAAAAGTAAAACCGAAAACTGTCCGCAGTTTTTTGGGCAATTCTGTCAATTTTTACTGCAAAAATAGTAAAATTTACTTCTGAAATAGTAAATTTTACTATTTCTGAATTAAAAATTGCCAGAAATGCGCAGAAACTGCAAACATTTCCGGTTTTACTTTTAAAGTAGTAAAAGTTACTTTATTCATTTTTCCATTATTCTCCGTGTATGACAAATAATATAATCCATAAAATGAAAATTCTTACTAATGATTTTTAGAACATACATATAATCATGCGTCTCATTTATACATATTTTAGAGCTATGAAAATTGTGTTAAACGACAGAAATTCACCAATAGAAAATCGTGAATGGTAAATTTTTTGAAAATTGCGCCAAAATCTTTCTGTCGATTGTTTCTTCTGTTATTTTGTAATTTCGGATAAATGAAAATTCGGCTTCTTAAAAATTCTATCAATTAAAAATTCGTACAAATAAAAATTCAATGAATTAGAATTTTTGTCATTCGTATCACATAAAATTCGATTGAATGAGAATTCTGCTAAATTAAAATTTTTCCAAAAAGTTCTCTTAATTAAAAAAAACAAATTTCCCGAGATCGAATTGACAAATTTAAAAAACAAAAATATTTTTCTCGTCTTGGAAAGTAATATATATTAAAAAATATTTTTTATTTTCAAAATTGATTTTAACTTAATTTTCAGTGAAAAACAAATGAATTTTACTATACTAAAGATGCAGAAAACGAAGTGGAAAAAGTCGATTAACATTTACATAATTGACCCCCAGTTTTTTTTAAATTGTTTATTTATAAAATGTTAATAAAAAACAGTTATTTTCATGTCCTATGTAAAATTTAAAAATTATTTTATATTCCGCATACATTTATAAATAAAAAACCGTTAAGAAAAAAATTAATTAATAAATTCTAAAATAATAATATTAATTATTATTATTATTTTCTAATTTCTACGAAGCTGAAGTACGCAACGTTTATGATAAAACGATTTTTAAAGAAATAATTTTTAAAAATAAAAAATTCTATAAAATTTTTTTGCCTAAAAAATAATTTTTTATATTTCATTGATTAATGAAAACTACAAGAAATATTTTTTTGGTGAAAAATTATAGAATTTTTCATTTTAAGAATTTCTTTAAAAATTGTTTATCATAAACGTTGCGTACTTCAGCTTTGTAATTCATTTTCTAATTTAAAAAATTAATTTTTTACAGAAACTGTCGCAGTTAGACTAAAATTTTAATTCCATTATAAAAAAAAATTGCTTCAGATATAATCATCAAATAATTGATTAATGATTATTATGTTAATAAGTGCTTCATTTAACTTCTTAATTTCTGTTAAAACATATTTTACAAAAATGATTATAAAATGGAAGCAAAAGAAATATTTGGGAAAAAAAAATGTTTCGTTTTTATAATTTTGTAGAAAATTATTACTCAAAAAAAAATTAAAAAATAACTACGAAAAAACAGTAAATTTTTTCCCTGGATAAAATTTTTATTTATAATAAAAAAAGAATTTAATTTCTAAAATGATTAATCGTAAAAACTTGTTGAGAGTAAGTATTTTTACACCATATAATAAATTACAAACTAATTTCAAAGCGTTTTCTGGTTGTCATCAACGAACAATACAAATATAATAATTTGACAAAAACCGGATAGCCATCAAGAAAAATCTTTTAATCAAAATTAGTTTCCCTTTGTTCGAATTATCGTCAGATTTTAATCTTTATATATCTATAATTTTGTCACAAACTAAAATATAATCACAACAGGTAACAATAATTACCTGTTGTGAAAAACATTTCCTGGAAGTCTAATATGTCTGGCTTGGCTCATCTTTAGTCGAAATTTGCTAATAGGATAGCCGAAAAAAAAATAAACTGGATCTGGTCTGATTTATTTAAAATTGTGGAATATTTAATATTTTCAAATTATATATATTAGAAATATTTTCACAATGTTATAATTCTGAATATTCTTTGAAAATGAAAAATAAGAATATTTTATACCTGATTTACGGTGAAATAATATTGAATGTCTGAAAAACCGGCAGTCAAACATCTGTTAAGATATGGTTAGATTTTATGACACACTAAATTAAGGCAAAGGGACACATATTGCAATTTCAGAAACTCAAGCATATTGTCATTCGAACATTTTTACAATTTAACACGTGTTTTTAATTCCCGAGATTTATTTATTTAGAATATTCTAAATAATCCGGTATAATAAAAAAAAAAAAAGAAAATAAAAATAAAACTAGACATAAAAATCTTATTTTTATAGATTTTAAAAGATATTTTAATTCCAAATTTACTATTATTAATATACTCAATGGTATTTATAATAATAAAAATAAAAAGTATTTATAATAATCTCAACAGTAATAATTCTAAACACATATTCCCTTTTTTCTCTTTGTTCCAAAAATAGTTTACATACAAAACATTTTTTGCTTACTATGAATTTCAATGTACTGTAAAAAAAAGTTTTATACAAATATTATAATTTATTTATTACTATTTAACTAAAGAAATTATTAAAAACTAATTTATTAAACTTTTCCTCCGAGTATATATATATACATATATATAATATTATAATAAAGTAAAATTCAACTATATAAAATAATTTGAGCATGAAATAACAAAATTATCTCACTATTAAACAACATATTATAAACTGCTTTTCAATTCAGTGTCCACACAAAATTCACGAAGCTGAAGTACGCAACGTTTATGATAAACGATTTTTAAAGAAATAATTTTTCAAAATGAAAAATTCTATAATTCTTTGCCTAAAAAATATTTCTTGTAGTTTTCATTAATCAACAAATTATAAAAAAATATTTTTTAGGAAAAAAATTATAAAATGTTTCATTTTAAAAATTATTTCTTTAAAAATCGTTTATCATAAACGTTGCGTATTTCAGCTTTCTAAATTCCATTGTCAAAATTCCCCGACAATTTCTCTCTCATTAATTTTCTCTTCTGATTAAAAAACAAATGTTTAATTATATTAGCGATAATTTCATTTAATAAAAATTTAAATTATTTCCAATTTGTTATAATATTAATTTTTTAATTTTCACTCCCAAAATATTATTTATTCTGAAAGTATAATATTTTTTTTTCTTAACCCTCATAAATATATATGTAGGAAAAAGTAGGTAGTCTAGTAGGTATGCAAATGCTTATATTAAGCCATCCCAACTTTGAAAAGGGGACCTCTCAAAATTCATTCTAAACTACAAACATATTGTAACCTTCCGAGATTTTTCAGAGGAAATATTAAATCTTTCATTCATGTTTAGGAAAATCCGCAAAAAAAAATCTAATCTACGAAATTTTAAAAGAAACATTTCGATTAAGTTAAATTCATATTAAAAATGCTTTCTGTATTAAAAATAAAAATCACAAAAATTTAAAAAAAATATTCTATTTTTAATGTATTAATTATATTATTTATTATTATTATATTATTTATTTTGAGTCTCTGAAAATTAATCTACCGAATTCCGATCACAACAAAGAAAACAAAACTATATATATATAGAAAAAAGGTTATTGACAATCGAGATAAAAGACATTCAACAATATTATGAATACCATTTGTCCTTGATTCACAAAATGCAAACGGTAAATTCACCTTCCATTTTCGAATATAAACTGAATTTTATAAAAATCTATTTCTTTTTTTTTTCTTACGAATGAAAGCGTCCCTCGTGTGTTTTAGTAGCGTCTCGCGAGATATCGAGAATCAACCTAAACGAACATAACCTTCAATATTTTCCTTCTCTATTCTCACAGAATCAAAAAATAAAAAACAATTTCAAATCTGGTAATCACTGAATGAAGGAGAATTGTCCTTGAAAGTGGCATTTCATAATAGAGGTTAGGTTTCCGAATGCGCAGTGCATCTCAAAAGCAATAGCAAAAAAAAAGAAAAGAAAACAATTTCCAATTTTCGTATAAAAGCCACAAAAAAAAATTCATTGTAACAAAAAAAAACATTGTAAACAGAAAGTAAAAAAAAAAAAAAAACGCGCGAAAAATCAAGAGCAATGGAATTTTTGTGAGCAGACGCGGGGCTGAAAAGAGAATAACGATCGACACTTACAGGGTAGTACATTCCTTGCGGAGGAAGGAAAAACGCCCCAGAGCCCCACAGTTTGAGGCCGTTTTGCTCCACCGTTGTGTGAGAAAACAATCTGACACTCCTGAGCACGTCGTCGTTGTCGTCGTATGTTCCTCCACGGTCGCCACCTCCTCTCAAACGTTTGCCAGTCACTTTTTTTCCTTCCTTGTCACTCTTGTACCTCGTGTCGCAAACACTTTCTCCGTCACAACTTCTCTTTCAAGAAAACGGCGTGTTATTATCCTAGTCGAAACACAAAACGAGAGACAGAAACCGGTAGCGCGGTCGAACTGCGTTTATCCGCACGCACGAGACACACACACGCACTGTATATATATATATATTCTCTATATATATATATAAAAACGTCGCCGTCGAGACGCGCACACTATTATACTAGACCGTGAGAGTATTCACTATTATTGAAAATAGAAATTAAAATCGAGACTTGAATTAAACAATCTATTATGATTGTTCACAGTGCGGTTAAGTCCGCAAAACACACTAGACTACTTGGCTTTCTTTCTTTCCACAGTGCTCCTTCCCTCTCTCTCTCTCTCTCTCTCTCTCTCTCTCTCTTTCTCTCTCTCGGCAGATCGAACTCACGGCAACCACTTTGCGTGGTCCTTTTCAGACTGACGGCTGTACCGGCGCCATGCACCAATTCACTCGCAGCGCCATCTAAAATTGCGCGCGCGCAGCGCTGTGAACTTGCTGCGTCAATTTTCTGAACTTAATCATCAAACGTTCTCTACTATTTCCTTTTTTTCTCTCTCTCTCTCTCTCTAAAATCAGTTTCTTTACCATATAAAGATTTTTAAATTATGAAAATTAAATTTTTTTTTCCTAATATTATTAAAACAATAAATGAAAATTATATGTTACTAGCGATCGTTAAATATTAATTAAATAAATATAATGGCTTTTTGGTTATTAATTTTATTATTATAATAATAAATACGAAATGTCATTTTGTATTTTTATTTTTAAAATTAATAACCAAAAAGCCATTATATTTATTTTATATTACTATTATATTTCGTTATAATTTTTTTCTATTTAATTAATTTTTTATAATTATAATTTTAATTTTTTTATTTAATTAATTTTTTAATACAAAAGACCACTGCTTACAAAAAATTTTTGATTCTATCAATTACTTGACTATTTATCAAATATAAATATATTTGTAGCAAATATTTTTTATTTAAATTAAATTTGAGGTAATAAATTTTTGTTTTTGAAACAAATACGATTTAATTGACTCAAATAATAATTATTATAATATCGCAGATATAAATATTTTATTTGATAATAGTTATTTGAGTATAGTCAAGTAAACAATTATTTAAATTAAACAACCAAAATTATTTTTTTTTTTTAATACGTGTTTATTTGAGACAAGTAAAATTTATTTGAAGCGCAGCTAAAATTTTATTTATCTCAGAGTAACTTTTTATTTGTTTTAAATTAAAAAGAAAATTTATTTAGTATATCAATAAAATTTTATTTAACGCAAATAAAATTTATTTTCAACAAATAAATATTTATTTGGCTCTAAGAAAAATATTTCTTTTCTCTGAGTGTATTATAATTTTTTTTTTTTTTATATTTAAGTAGAAAAAAAGGAAAATGATTTTAAAATTTTGAGTAACTAATAATATATTTTTTAATTTTTTAATAATTTTTTTTTATAATTCTAAAAGAGTTTCAAAAAATTTTATTTTAAACAATTAATAATAGCCATGCTAAACATTTGATACACCCCAGAGAAATGAAATATTTTTTATCAAAGCCTAATAAATATTTATTTGATTCAAATAAATTTTTATTTATTATTATTTTATAGTAATAATAATAATAATAATAATAATTATTATTATTATTATTATTATTATTATTTATTATTATTATTATTATTGTTTTAAATAAATTCTTATTTGATTTTCATAAAAATTTAATTTACTCCAAATAAAAAGGCTAGTAGGCTGTGAGACGCAAATATACATTTATTTAACTCAAATATATACTATTATATTTGAATCAAATAAAACATTTTATATTTTAAAAATACATCAAAAATCATTTTTGTTATCATTTTTTTTAATTAATACACGGAGAAAAAAGATTTCTTTAATTCAAAGAAATTAATTTTTTTGACAAGTATTTCTTTGATTCAAAGAAAATTTATTTGACAAGTATTTATTCGATTCAAAGAAAATTTATTTGACAAGTATTTCTTTGATTCAAAGAAAATTTATTTGTTTCAAACAAATTATAATTGATTCAAAAAAAATTATCTTCGTTTCGAAGAAATTTGCGTTATTATTTCATTCAAATAAATGTTTCTCTGACCCTATATGAATGTTAGAATTTCTTCGATTTAATGCACAAATTTCTTTCATTCAAAGAAAATTATTTAAATCAAAGAAATTTTCTTTTGAAACTAAGAAGCTTTTTTTGTTTCAAAGAAAATTTTATTTTGAATAAAAGAAAACAAGTCAAAGAAACTATGGTTTCTTTAAATCAAAGAAATCTTTTCTCTATGGGTGTACATTATTTTATATTCAAAAAAAAAATTAATTTTCCTTTCTAAATTAAAGAATTTAACATTAATAATAAATTCAATTTTTTTTAAATTGTATTCTATACTGAAAGAATTTTTTTTTTTTATTCAAATAATCTGTTATATTTACATTGATTATTATTTTCAAATAAATATTTATTTTTGAACTAAATAATTTATTTTGTTACTATTAGAATTATAAATCTTTAAAATATATTTTATTTATTTATGAACTGAAAAAGAAAAGAAGTAAAAAATTTAACTTTCAAAACAGAATTCTATAAATTCTTATATATATATACTCTCTTTTGCAACTGAAGAAAAGGGATGTAAATTCTTAACTCAAAAGGAAATTAATGCGCTTTATTTCCCGTTTTCAACTTCTAGAGCAAAATACGAATATATTTTGTTTAATTTCCTAAATTTATAAAAAGTATACCCAAAAAAATATTAATTTGTTAGAAAAAAATTCATTATTTTTTTTAATTTATAATATTATTAAAATTAGAGAAAATTAAATTAAAGAAAATAGTAGCAGATTTTTTTTTTCTAAAATTAATATTTTTTTTTGTATTACTTTCGAAAAATTCAGGAAATTAATCCTAAATAGTTTTCTTGGTATATGGCTTTGGGAAAATTATTTCTATCAAAAAATATATCTTTAACTATATATGTATATATAAATTATATATAAATCTCTGTAATTTATTTAAATGGATATCTATAAAATATATTCGTTTGGCTCCAATCTCTGCACATATAATAATAGCGCGAAATGATGAGAGAAAAAAAAAATTTGCGACATGTACGATTTGAAATTGTGTGAATAAATTTAAGTAAAATTCTATGTTAAGAATCATGGGTCATCGTTAGGTCAATTTACCTCAATTTCATTTGTAAATTATTGTCAAAGCCGATAAGCCAAAACTAACATATAAAATAGATCGACTAGCATTTCATAAAAGAGGTCGCACACAAATCAAGACTATAATTATATTTTTGCTAAATCTATCCGACATCTTCTTAGACTTTTGCCTCTGTAAAATTAACGTTTGCCCTTATTTCCTATTTCCTAATTTTGAAAAACGATCTAAATTATGTAATAAAATAAAGATGAATCGTATCCACATTTATATCTACTTTATAATTATATATATATTTAAGTAGGTCCTTTTAACATATATATATATATTCCAAAAGAGTTGAAGATGAAAATAATTTACCATTAATGGAAAATTTAAAAAAATATATGTATTTTTATAATCATATATATATATGTATATTATTTTTAGATTAGCGTTTTTCTGCTTTATTATATTTAAACAAGATTTTTAATCATAAACTTTCCTTTTTCCAATCTGCATAAAAATTGTGTATATACATATATTTATAAGATTTTTGACAGAATGTAAAAATGCTTTTAAATATTAAAATTGTATCATTTTTTTTATATTATTATTTTTTAATAGAAAAGTTGGAAAAAAATTTGATAATAAGTAAAAGCGAGAACTTGTTGAATAAAGTTATTTTTCATTTTTGTCATGAAAAATAAATATATACAATACTGTAACTTTTCACGCTTTTAATTAAGAATTTAATTTTTGGGTGAATTTAAGTATTCGAAAGCTATAAATAAAAAAGATTAATCTTCACTGAAAAAAAATTCTGATTAGGCTATATTTAACATTACTTTCTAGTTATGTTAACCAGAATCAAAATGTTAAATATACCCCAACCAGAATTCTGGTTATTCTAATTAGAATTTTTTTTCAGTGTTGTTTTAAAATCAATTACTTAAATTTTTGTTTGTAGACAAACATTTGTCATAATTCTCGTCAACTACCGCACCCTGCTTTAGTAAAAATTTAGTAACTTTATTGTTAAAATTAAGTTACTGTAAAATTATACTAAATTTTCACTAGAGCAAGGTGCGATAGTTGACGAGAATATTATATATGACAAATGGCGAGTGGGGACAATATGGAAACCAACCGGCTAAAGTAACGAAATACCAACTATGTAACAGAAAATAAAATAAAATGGCGCCAAATTTAAAAATTAAAAACTCAATTTACGATAATTAAACCGCAAACAATTAACGTAATTCGTTCAAATTAGAAATTAATAATTATATATACTATTTTGCAGTTTCCAACTATTTCATAAGTTTCTAAAAGTTTAAATTTCATCTATATCGATTAAACAATAAAAAATTATTAATCTAGAGGGTTTCATTTTCTACTTTATTATAACTTTTTAATTATCTGTATAATATATTAATGTATCGTTGAAAAAGTTAAAATTCTTACAAAGTACATTAATTTATTGCTTCATGATTGAATAATAATCATCGAAAAGTTTTGAAAAACTCTATCTATATATATATATATATATATATACTTATTCGCAGAAACTAGCACAAATCTTTCGAGAGCGCAGTTTCTTCATTACTTTCTGTTTCTGCATGCGCGCAGACTTTGTAAACTCCTCTTTTCAAAAAGTTAGACAAGTACCTATATAAAATGCGATCTACTACAATTTCTCAAACACTCTTTGGGTATTATAAACAAAGAAATTCCCACTATATATATATATTATATGGATGAGCTCTATAAGAAATTGAAAAGATTTTTGCGAGAAATTTGTCTCGATCTAAAACTTTATATTTTCTCCACTAAATCCATCTATCGACATTCACAACAAGTTCGCAAAACTGAAACTGAAAGACACCAGTGAAGAGTATGTTTTCATCCAAAATGAAAAAGAGAGAGAACAGGAGTTTCAGAAACAGAAAAAGGATAGGAACCGGAAGTGAGAGGGATAATAGAACAAGTCCCAACAATTTGTATCCTTGGAATTGAGCCAACAAATGTCGGAAGCATCACATGCATATAATACCAAAATGGAAAATGGCCTCCTCTCCTAGACAGAGGGAAAGGACTTGTTTTCCTGAAGCTTGGATTATTTGTCCTTGTCACTATCCGCCTATTAACAAAATGTCAACCTGACATGCATAAAGTTTGTCCTTTATTAAATTGCGATACTCTAATTTTATCGAAACGGTTATATTTTGTTTTTTTAAATATTT